AAATACTGACATAGACTCTCCAGGGTGTGTTTCAGCAGCCACCATGTTTAAGCACAACAGACAGGGGATTTCTCAGGTCTGCAGCAAAAAGCCTTGATTTCACCAAGCCATCCGTCTCCACAGAAAGTTCTATTCAGTTTGTGAGCACAAAGAACAATGTAGTTGGGGACAGTAACTGACTAATGCATTTACATCTTGTCACCTTTCATGACAGCAAGGGCAGGGTCTAAATATCAGAAAGCAGCTGACATTCATCTCACAGAGCAATACTACTCCAAGTGTGGTCCAGGGATCAGGAAATACATCATTATGAAACTTATTAGAAATGCACATTCTTGGCTCCCCGTCTTCCCCATCCCACCCCTCCAGCTACTGAATCTGAATTTCTGTGGGTGGGGCCCAGGCATTTGTTTTAACACGTTGAGTTTTAGAAGCACTGTAGTACATCATTTCCTAAACCTTTCTGATGCTAAGTGTATCTTTCCAGGCCCTTCAAAGGGCAATTCTGAGCTGCTGGAATGAGAACCTGGAAACTTGTGCGAGCATCCTCTGGTGACTTTTCCTATCAGGTAAGTTTAGGAGACTCTAGGCACCTCCCTGATTTGTTTACCTTCATGAGCCCTGATTGAGGCAGGTGTTTTGATAAGATATGCACGTAAGAGTCACTGGTGGAGCTTTTTAAAAATACAGATCCTCTCTTGTGGTGGCTCACAATGAAAAGAATGTGACAATGTAAAATGTCTATACTAATCAAAGTGATCTATAAATTCAATGCAATTCCTATCAAAATTCCAGTTACAGAAAAAGAAAAAAAAATCCTAAAACTGGCACTGAAATGCAAAGACCATGAACAATCAAAGTCATCTTGAGAGAAAAGAACAAGGCTGGAGGTATTATACTTCCAAATTTGAAATTAAACTACAAAGTTATAGTAATCAAAACAGGATGGCTGGCACAGGGAAATAGATACAAGATCTTGTTGTAGCTCAGAGAAAATGAATGTGACAATGAATGTATGTATGTTCATGTATAACTGAAAAATTGTGCTCTACACTGGAATTTGATACAACATTGTAAAATGACTATAACAAAAAACGTAAAAAATTTTTTTTTAAATTAGTCATCAAATTTAAAAAAATAAATTAAATAAATAAAAAATGAATAAAAATACAGATCCTCTGGGCTTTTCCCCAAATCTTGTCAATCACTGTATCTGGGAGAGGCGGCAGAGCAGTAAACCATGCTTCTTGTTTTCCTGCAGTAAGTGCCTTAAATGAAGAAGGGGTAACTTTTTCAGCGGGACTAGCTCTGTACCTGGGGATGCCGGTGCTCCAGCTTGGAATTCTCAGCAAAGACCCAGCACCAAGCTCCAGCAGAGAGGGCTGGAGCAGCACTTTCAAGCAGACCACAAAGGCTTCAGCGAGAAAACCTGGCAGCAGCACCACCACCTGGGCTGAGGACCAGAGTCCCTTCCCAAGGGCAGAACGGAGAAAGCACTGCCTGCCAAAGCTGATGGGTGCAGGACGGCAGCCTTACTTAACTGGGTTTAGAAAAATAAAGCAACATGTTTCTTTTACCAGTCACACACAGAAAAGATTTTGAGGAAACCAAAACACTAGCAGGGAAATAAAGTGTAAAAAAATGTTGCTTTTAAAACTTCTCTCTTTATCTTCATCTCCTAAGTCTGACATTTTATAAAGTCAGCCTTTTATATGAACTTACAGTCTCTTTCTTTCCCCATCAAGCTCACTATTCCTTTGTCTTGCTACTAAGATATTTCATCATGTTGGTGAATTATTTTTTAAGCTCTGAATACCAACAGACACAAGACAGTACATTGGGTAAACAATCAACCCATTTACAAAGCTCTTTCTTCTACTGTTTAACCCCAAAGAGCCAAGTGTTTAAGGTTTAACACCTTAGTCTTCAATCAAAATCACATATATTGAGCTTAACGAAGTGCTCAATACAGGTAATTAATAATAGTGGTTCCCATTTCTTTCCCCTTCAATTACAAGCATCATCTGATAAAAATGTTGACTGTTCAGTGTGATTCTGTGTATGAATGACAGAGGAAATTCAAACAAAGCTATAAATACACATCTATTTTTATTGCTTAAAGACCCCTAAAAGCCTGTAATCAGGAAAGACTCTGCCAGGTGAAGAATCTACATTTTGCCTGCCTGGAATATAAAGAAAGGAAAATTTCGTGAATGCTGCAAACATTTTTCAGATAACATCCGGAAATAAGATAGGAAACCCTCATTTCTGATACCACATGTGCCATAGGGGGAAAAACAAAATCAAGAACCCAGATTACAGGGAAGGCTCCAAATATCTTCAAATTTTCCTGATATTCATACTTTATTCTCCACCCTCTACTGTAGACTCCTTAGTAATATCTTATCTGAAGGGACTTCCCAAAATCTTGGCCTTGGTACATGTGGGTGAATAATCCCATAGGGTGGTACAAAAAAGTCTGTTCGAGAAAATTGTATTGAGATGCTGCTCTCCATTCTTTTGCCTCCAAAGCTGGCCACCTGCCTGACTCCTGTCCAGAATCACAGCTCTTCTGGAACCAAAGGCCCCCCCTTACCCAGGTACATAAAGGGGGTGAGTGACTTTCAACAGCCTGACCTGTAAGTGGTTAGCCTTCACTGGGTCCTTTCAAAAATAGCTGTGTTCTTTTCTTTGACATCTTCTTCAACATGGGAACTCATAACAGGTCCTAGAAATTGCTGGTGTGGCCACTTCGCCATATTGTCCTGTAGGTCTTCACCAACCATCACCCAGAGCTCCAAATGGAAGCTTCGGGCTGCTGTGTCCTTCAGCATTAAGTCCTTCCTGTCACCATCCCCATCCCCATCCCCATCCCCATCAGATGAAAGGCAGTCTGCAAAGCAGTACTTCATTTGGTTAATAAGAGGGTCTTGAAATGAGCATCTTAAAAGGGCCCACAGGGTTCAATCCAGAACACTAGACGCTGTCTTGAAACTAGGGCTTGGGGATAATCCTGATTTCCTAAACCACTGTGAAGCAGATGCTAGAGTTGGTACATTTCAGGATATACACTATATACTATAAACAGTGCACGGGAAACTTCAGCTCTTGGTCATGTCATTCCTATTCTCATTTTTTTTAATCAAAGAGAAACTAAGGAAAATAATTATTGTCCCAGAAAGTTTTCTTTTTAGGACCTATTAGACCTATTACAATAATTAAAATGAGACCACTGCCTCACAGTTTGCCACACTGGCTCAAGTGAGCTTAGTTCTTCTGTTTCCACCTCAGACAGTTCATTCTGAGATGAGACTTAGAAAAGCAAGTGTTTAGGGGTAGATGCAACTTCTCCAATGGTGGTCCACAGAGTTGGCTGCTCTTTTCTATATTTAAATTTTGTAAAAAAGAATTTATTATACTTTGATAAAAATAAGGAAACCAGGCAGTTCTGAATCTGGTGAGTGTATTATTAGCAGTCTCCAAAAGACTCCCTAAAAAACTGTTAAGTTCCTCCTGGAAGCTGTTGTGGTCATTTAGTTTCATCTGACGTTGACTCACAATGAGATTACTCCAGTTGGTGCTGGGTGCTGCTCTCAGGTCTCCCTTTAGGCTTACAGAACCACCACTGCACAGATACAGGCACATCTGAGCATGGAAGACTAAACACATGGAGAGCTTTACTGGTTCAAACGTGGTTGAATGTATTTATCCTTCTTTCTGGACCTGCTCTTCTGTGTGGGTCACCTTTGTCTCATCACTGCATCAGTACCACAGTATTTTAATTTCTATAACTTGATGTTTTCCATCTAAAAAAAGTCCTTCAATTTTGTTGTTCTTCTTTTAAGAATAAATATCCCTTGGCATTTCCGCATAACTTTCATAATATGCTTGTTAATTTTCAAACACAGAAAAAATTTCCTGAGATTTTGGTTGGTTGAAATTGACCTATAAACCTATACGTCAATTTTAGTAGAAAGAACGTATTTACAATGCTGAGTTTTCCAAACCATTAACATAAATATATCTTCACTTATTAATTAATACCTTTTTTCTCAAACGTGTTTCATAATTTTCTATGTCGAGATCTTGTATGATTTGTATTAAGAGTCATATCTATGGGTTTGAATTCTGATTGCCTTTGTAAACTGTGTTTTTTAATTTCTTTTTTCTAATTGAGTGTTACTGGTATATAAAAATATTTTTTGGATATTGGTAATATATCCAGTAATCATACCAAATTCACTTATTGAGTTTAACAGTTTATCTGTGATTCTTCTGAATTTTCTCCATTCACAATAATATCATGAGTAATTTCTTTTTCCAAATGGGTTTGAAGAACTGATCTGTAATATTCTAACTCACAGCTAGCAAAAATGTTATTTTCACGTTAGAGCAGTTCACATATTAGTATATTAGATTAAAAATATTTGTTTCAATGAGAGTATCTGGATAATTGGTCTTAGCATGGAAGAACACAAAGAACACTCAGCACATAAAGCACAAGTTTATTTTCTCAGGGGCAAGTTTATTTCTCAGGAAATACATATTCTGTACATACTCTCCCCGAGGCCCCCAGCCCCCACATACACACCAAGAGTTAAGAATGCTAGCTTTTGGCCAACCTGCATTTCCATGTCTATTCCTTTCTCTTTAAGCATGAAAGAAAACAAAAGACTGGTTGAAATGGTATATTTTATTTGCCCCTCTGAACACTACATTCTTCTGATGATACTACCATGATGAGAGCTCCTCTCCCTGCTTTCTTAGCCTTTCTTCCAAATCTCCTCCTTGCTGGGATTATCAAGATGTTGCCAGTGTCCAGGCCAACAGGCTATCAAGCTCTTGATAACAGAACTTCCCCTTCTCACAGAGAAGTAGATCCGAGGTTGGAACCAGGTTTGGCTTGGTTGTATCAGAAGGCAATTAAGATGGGAAGGAGCCCCAGTCCACCCACTGGGGACCCAGAGAACTGACATGAAATAAAGGACCAGAGCCTTTGGTTCTGTCTTCAGCAGTATTTATTGGAAACAGCGATGCTTCCCATGGTGAGATTTTATACATTAAGCAGTAAGATTTGCCTTTCACTCCACATGATCCACTGTCGCAGGTGGCACATTGGAAGCAGCACATTAAACCTCTGAAAGGATCTGTACAGCTAGATAAACAGAACTCTGGATACCTAACAGGACTTCAATGACTGATACAAAACAAAAACAAAAACAAAAACAAAAACAAAACCACTCGTAAGCTTACACACAGCACTGTACACTCAAACCGAAGATAAGGTAGAAGGGACAGAAATAAAACGAATGACTGAATTGGGAAGAGTTTTGCATATGCAGCCACACATCTTAAACTGCTAAGCACAAACATCATCTTTATTTGGTCCTCATTGAGGGCAGAATACGCACAAACGATGTTCAAAGAACACAAGGTGAAAGTGGAAAGGGAAGATAGTTACTGTTTCTTGGTCTATGAGCTAGTGGGAAAATGGTTTCCAGTGTTTTTCTCCTTGTGTCTCTGCCAAATGGACTCATGAAACATGTAAATCATAAATAAAACTCAAGTGAAGATATTTGTTCCCCTTGCATGTAACCTCAGGAATGCCCTAAATACATACACGGATTCTGTACAGCAAGAAATGTAAGCTTGGAAACCAGATCTCTTCCCAAGTTCTCATTAAGGGAGAATCTCTTCAGCCTCTCCCACAGCATGCTGACTGCTAACTGACTTAGAAATAAAAGGGGAGCCCCCTCTGGCTGTAATAGCACAGAGGGAAGAAAACTGGCTGTACCTCAGAAATAGGCATAAGTTGGGGAACAAGGGTGACTTTTCAGAGAAGGCTTTGAACACACACTCAACACTTTTCTATTGGTAGCATCGAGGAACTGACTCATTCAGACCAGAAGACAGCTTGCTGGTGAGGGAGGCTTTCTTCGACAATTCTGTAACTCACATGTTTGGGAGGGGGATCTATGTGAAAACAAGAACTTTCTCCTTTACTTCAGTGGAGAACCTGAGACCTTGAAAAGGCCCCAGGTGATAGATAGTATCTTCGGTAGGATGGTTTTTCTGTGATGTGGCTCGTGGGCATAATCTAAGAAGCCACAGCCTCCTGAGAACTGTGTCAACAGCAGTTCTGTGACTACTGGCTGATCTCAGATGATGTTTAAAAAGCACGTGCCATGCCTACCAGACTAAGAAGATACCATCCATCACCATGACTTTTGTGGGATCACGCAAGTCAACCAAAGATACTTGGTGGGGCTTGATGACCTGGACCACTGCGGCCTGCACTTGGGATGTATTGTAAGCAGCATTACCAAAGCAGTGGTTAAACTTAACTATCTGGGCCAAGAAGAGGTGAGCCAGCCAGAGTAACATCCTAACGGGGCAGAGCAACCAGAATCTCCACGTAGTTGATGGGAAAGAAGCCTGACTGGCCATGAAGCATCCCCTCGTACCAGTTCTCATCAATCTGGTTAGTGAGTGTGATGATGTCACCCTCTTTAAAACCCAACTCCCCTTCATTTTCAGGTTCAAAGTCGTACAGAGCTCGGCAGCAGGGCTGATCCATTGGGGCACCTGGGTGTAGGAGCAGGAGAGAAGAACACAGAAAGACAAGGGGAATTTAACTCACATATCTACCGCCTGCTGCACCTGCCCAGCTTGTTGTCCCCCTGGGCTCCTCCCTCCTCTTCCTGCTGAAGCTTCCTCTTGCTTCTGGTCTCCAGTGCCTGCTGCTTAGCACCTCACCCTCTACCAGTCTTCAGAAGCTTTCTCACATTTCTGGAAGTTGTTGAATTCGTTTCCATTTCCAGTATGAAAAATGGGTACATCTATTCTCATGATACATACAACATAGTTCCTCCAGGCTGGCCTACCTAACGATGTCCAGAGACAGGAGGCTCAAAGACTTAAGGAATCTGAATGAGACTAAGGTTCATAACAGAGGATGGCCAGAATTCCTTCCAGGTTTAGCACTTTAAAACCTCTGCACATCTGAAAGACTACAGTCAAGTATAGTGCTTTGCAACTTCAGAATAACAGCGCAGTTCTCACTTTTTAAAAACAAAGACCCCAGGCTCTGGAAAATTGCTGTAATTCAGTGAAAAGAAGGTAATATAAAACACTGGATTCATGTTCTTACTCTCTGTGACCTTGCACAAAACAATTCACTCTCAGTTTCTTGGTCTCAAGCTGGAACTCACAGTCAAACTTACTTCACAGTACAGCGGTGGCTATTAAATGAGATTAGGCAAAAATGATACAATTTACACCTTTGCATTATATATTGCATATGTAAATATGAGGCGTGCATCAGAGCTATGGCATATATAAACTAATATTCTCTACCTTCAATTAAACAATGAAGGATGGAATCATATCTTAAAAAGGATCTATATTAAGTGAGTAAACAACAACACAGCAAGCACAAACACATGTATATAAACTCAGACAAGTGCAGACAGCGCCATGCCGTCTAGAGGGCTTTGAAGGGGGATAATGAAATTTATTTTAACTTAGGTTAAGCAGCAAATTAATGAGTCTCCAAAAGAAAAGTGAAATATATGGTTCCAAGCAGGGAGAAGCAGGTTATACAACTTTTAGGACTAGTCCTTGTAACCAGCTAACTTCTAAATGCCACTGGTTTTTATCCCCACACTGAGGGCTCGGAGCAGCACAGGCAAGCACAAGGGGCAGAGAGCGCCACCGTCATCACAGGCCTCCCTTCTTCCTTTCGTAGTCTCCTGACAGCGTCTCACAAAACATTTCCTACTGTAGAACATCCAGCACTGGGGATGCAGGGAATAAAGGAGAGAGCTGCATATCCTTAAATCCACATCCAGTACAAGTCACTGCCCATTCTTCCTCCAAGCAGATGCGGGTTGAATCTACCTCAAGCACAGGCTTTTATCTGATCTGTGTGTGGGAGGTGGAGGGCAATGGTGCCAATTACAAGAACACATTATTGGGTATATATCAACATTCCTGATAGAAATTAAGTTTTAATTTGTGTTATCCCAACCTGTCACCACAGCACAATGAACTGGCTGGAGGGTGGGGAGAGGAGGGAAACCTAGCAGATGGTGAGGTTCAAAATATATTCATCTGCAAATATATTCACCCATACGTTCCTGTGACTCAAGAAATCCAACTCAACAGGCTCGTGGAGCTGCTGTGTGTGGGTTCTGTGTGGCTGCATGTGGGCCGGGGGCGTTCACCCTCGGGCATGCTGGAATCACAGAAGGGGAGAAAGAGAGAAGAAAGAGGACATCCTTACAACTAAACTGGCATATTGAGGGGATTTTGAGACCACAGAGGAGGGTCAAAATCAAATGAGCTAGTTAGAGCAGCTGTGTACTGAGGATGATGAAAACAAAGAAAGTTTTGCAGAGGAGAGGAGAGCAGAGAGGCGGGGAGGAGATGCTCAATGAGACAAGAAGGCAGGATTTCTTTAGAAGAGTTTCTACCTGACAAAACCATCCTGTAAGCAATATATTGCTTTATTTTTCTTATGCAGCCAGATTGGACTGCTCCTAGAAATTCTGGAAAGTGTCAGCGGGGCGTGCCCACAGCCCAAGGTCTCAGCTCCTTACCTGCAGGTTTAGGGGTGCCCGTGTGGGACAGGCCCCCGTTGGGCTGAGTGCTGTCCCCGGATGGAAACTCCAGGCTCATTCGAGGCTTAGGCTGATACTCCCTTCTAGGCTGAGATGAAGCTTGTCTTATTCTGCATTAAAAAGAAAAGTGGGGGGAGTATGTAGCCAATTAGGAAACAAAAAGTAAAGCAATAAAATGCAGAAAATGCTTACGTCACCCACCAATCTACCACTGTGGAGCAGGGCCAATCTGAGAAAGACCCTCAGGTTTCTTATCTGTGTCTGTCTCTGCTTCTGGTGCTGTGGTCATAGCCTCTCTGGCTATACCCTCGCTGTCTTCATCCTTTCTCTCAGTCTCTCATTTTCTCCCTCATTTATTCAGAGCTCACTTTGCAAGTGTGCACTGTGCGAGGTGCCAGGAACACAAGGATGAATAAGACACAATTCTTATCCTCCAGCAGCTTATGTTCTGAGCATAAACAACTGGTTGGGGTAAACTGTAGAAAGTGCTGTTACAGAGATATGGACAAAATGCAACAGGAACGCAGGGGTGGGGAGGAGTCTCCCTGTCCTCAGGGAAGTTGGAGAAGCGTTAAGGAAGGAGATAAAAGACAGGTAGGAGTCATTTCTAGATGAACAGTTGTTTCCAAAACAAAGTGATTCCACGCAGAGCTTGACAAGATGTGAGGGAGGAACAGAGGAAACGCTGTGTGCTCTGAGAATGGCATGTAGGACGGGGCAATGAATCAGGAGAAAGGCAGAAGGGATGGGCAGTCACTGTCTGCTGCATACCCTTAAGTCTCTTCCAGTTTCAGGGATTCACTAAGCAAAATGTGCCGCAGATCTGCAAGGGTGCGCAGAGTTAAGGGCATGGTGATCGTCAAATGGTAGCGACTTTGACATACTTCAGAGGAAAAAAGAAAATGGCCTTCTTGCTCAACAGATGCTGCAGAGACATAGTATTTCTTTAGTACTTTGTAGTGCATGACTTTAAACCTTTCTAGAGGCTTCTGAGTGTTACACACACTTCCACAAGGATGTACTGAGGGAAGATGCACAATCAAGCACTCCTCAGGGAAGATACTGAGGAGAAGAAGAGGCTGGCCAGATGGAAACAAGTGAGGAAGTTTCCGTAACAAGCATCATACTTGGAGTCCGCCTTGTGCATTTACCTGCTGAGGTGACCCTTTGATGTACACACATTGAGCTGAATTAGACAGTACAGGGCACTGCATACAGCTGAGTAGGCTGTGCCCTGCAACCCTTGGGAGTCCCTTTAGTAAAGAAAACTACCACCACCAAGCTATGGGGCACAGCTAAGAAGGTGGAACAGGCTTAAGAAAGCAGGTCCCCCCGATGGATCTTGTCACCATTCAGAGAAACACAAGGTGTGCAATAACACAAGCTTTCCAAAAGGTTATGCTTGAACGTGAACCCCCACTGCACCACCGTGTGAGCCTCAGTCTGCTCATCTGCTGGAGAGGCTAACAACATGTGGGTTACAGGGCTGTTAACAACTGACAAGGACATGCCCTCAGTACCCATGCATGAGAGCTGCCCAGCAAATCACGTCCATTATCATTACCAGCATCCCAGTGTCCCATCCGTGGCAGCCAAAATATAATCTAAGTATCAATCTCTTATAAACACAAGATTAGATTCAACAGAACAAATAAAATAAAGCCCAAGACAATATAAAACCAAAACAAATGGTCTATAAGGTGCCTGTGTGGGATCAGCAGGAATTTTGTCGGAAGTTCTTCTTCAAAAATATTCTCTCTACTATTTCCATTCCTTTACACACAGTTTTGTAACAAGAAAAGGGAAATGTAAAATGCAGGGAACTGTAAAATACCTTTCTTCCAGTCTGACAGTGACCTGCTGCAGGATCTGGACTGCTTGCTTATGGTACTCCAGCTGGGCCTGGACGAGTGCAGAGAGCTGGCTCACTTGTTCAATCTGCAGATGAATGGGGGAATCATGCCTTAGTTACCAGATCACTGTCCTGAAGCAGCTGCTACTCCCAGGACATGACAGAGTTACCCCTGATATAGCCCAGTGCCTGGAGATGCTCATGACTGTGTCATGAGACAGGCTGACAGACAGTTCTGCAGATTTCAAGTTGATTAAGGATAAGAACACATTCTTAAGCTTTGAAACTCCAGTACCGTGAGGAGACACACGAGTCAGAATCCTCCTGAAGGCCACAGGACTTTACCAAACAGCTTATGCTCAGCTACAGCCTTCTAATTAGGATCGGGCTTGACGTACTGATTTTCCACAGGAAGAAGATGCACTGACTAGAATGTTCTTTGCTCCCTATACTTTTCGTGCTAAGACAACATTAGTGCTGTTAATACAAATGTGAATATGGATGTCACATGTGAGGCACTACGGGAGGCTGTGTGGTACGATGGAAAATCTTTTTCCTCTCTGAGCCTCATCTCGAATGTAAAAGGGTTGAATCAAGCGACATTTTGGGTTCATTCCAGCTCTAATGTTCTAAGCATCCTTGTTACTCTTCTTCATTCTGCAACTTGTGTTGTTATCGAGCTGAATAATGGTCTCCAACTCAACAGAGGCTATGCTGCCCCAGGAGTCTGGGCTGGGGTGGGGCCCAGGGTACAGGGAAGGACCACTGATTCAGGTCATCCTCACGCCGAGTTTTCCTCTTCAGCAGGTAGGTGGACAAACTGTTTTACACAGACACAAACCGACACTGTCTCTGGGCACTGGGAGAGTCTGGGTGTGTTCAATATGCCTCCCGAGTCACCAGCTGGGGGAGTGATAAGTCCATCAAGGCTCTGTAACCATCTTGGCCGGAGTTGGTCAGCAACTCATAGGGCCAGAGGTGAGGATGAGCGAGGACAGGGAAGCTGGTGAACAGGATTCATGATATGAATGATCGGAATGTAACTTCTAAAGCCATGAATAATAATTTAGTATTCAGGAAATGTAAAAGCAACTCTTAAACAATCTCATCTGTGCTCCAAGTGCAGTATTTGTGCTACAATCTTAAATCTCAATTGAAATTACCTTTGAAAGAAAATGTCAACTTTAATTCAAAACACAGAACATCTTAACCTTTGTTGGACACTGACTTCTGAACGTACTTTACTTGATTGATATTCTTAGTCTGAAGTCAATCTGCCTTACATTTCAAGAGTATTTTTTTAAGCTACTGGACTTACATACAGGTCATCAGAACCACTCTTTATCTCCCCACTATTGATCATTAGTAGACAAAAGTCTAGTTAAATCAAACTAAGAATACAGAAAAATCTTTACCATTTCTCAGTCTACTTTATAATTTCTACTTTTAAATTATTTAAAAGAATAACCGTCCAATGAAGTTCTCACCACATGGTGCAATCCATTATGACACATTAAACTTGTGCCTCAATGGCAAGATTAAATTAAAAACCATAGGTGAGTCACTCACATCCATCTCTAAGAGGTTGAACATGCTTGACTCAGCGATTTCTTTAGATTCATCAAATTTCTCCAAAGCCTGACGGAGCTCTTCATCTGGAATCTTCCCTTGTCGTTTTTTCTTATAATCAAAGTCCAGGCGTCGACCCTCCAACTTCTTTAGATGATGCTGAAAAAGTCAAAAGGCTTTGAAAGGACTTAAGGAAAAGGCCTATTGACAGCTCACTTCCCCATCATGCCCATTAGCTTCCAAAGTAAGACAAGCTAAGTCCTAAAATATCACTCCACCAGAAGAATAAACATGCACCTGTGGGGCAAATGTTTCCAAAGGCTAAATGTAGGGACATGTCTCCGAAACTAATTAAGAGGAACCAAAAAATGTGGGAAATACCAGTGCCCTTTACTCTCTGCCCTCGCCGGTCCAGAGCCAAGCTGGAATGTGTCTTTCCGCCCCACGACAGAAGCTGGAAATGTGTACACACTCTACGCATTCGGAAAGCACAGGCCTATGGGGCCCACAAGCCACACCTTCAAGGCAAATGGTGTTTCATGGGTAGGCTGAGGAGAAACACTTTCCTTGAAACGAAGTGAGAAAGAATGGTATTCTTACTTTTCGTATCATAGAACGTCAGTGCTGGAAACAATTTACCTGTGAGGTTATCCGTTCTGTTAGAGCCACCTACGACACTTACTAAAATATGGATTCTTGATCACCTGAATTAGAACATGCAGGGCTGGCGTCTAGGAATCTATGTCTCAACACTTAGCCTAGTGGACTGATAGCAGCTTTCGGGGAACCATGGATTAATTTAAGTCTCTCATCTGAGCCATCTGACAGAGGATGACACTTAGTCACAAGACCTAACTAGAAGGGAGCTCTGAAGGGACCTGATGCCCTACGCTGTGCTCAGCCCCTCTCTGCATCATCCCAGGTGCCGGGCTGCCCAGCCTCGCCTGTCACCTCTAGTGACCAAGTGCGCAAGTGTCTTTTCCCTAGAAGTTGCAGCACTCCACTACGACTGGGTAGGAGAAAATGCTAGATTCCCTTGGTTCTGGATGTGCAGGGAGTGAAAGGGAAGGAAATGGAAACAGAGTTGGGAGTAGAGAAGGAACACGAAGAAAAGGAAGAAGAATTTCAACCTTCCTTCCCACTGCACACCCTGCCTCCAATCCAGGCCCTGATCCAAACTAAATGTTTGTTCCTTTGGAAGGAAAATTCTTTTACAACATCTGAACTTGCAGGCAGCTGCAGGGTAGAGTACTGGAGTCAGGGTTACACTCTGGATGTACAGTGAGTCTGCCACATACTAACTGTGTGACCTTGAGCAGGTGACAGGGCTGAGGGAGATTCAGCTAGGAGACTGGGGGGCTGCAGGTTATGACACTTCATTTTACAGTCAAGAAAATCAAGTTTCAGACAAGTTCAACAACCATTTGTTGAAGGAGTGAATGAGTAAACATAATACATTTTGTTAGAGGTAAAACCAGCTGAACTTCATGTATTTGGAATAGCTCAACTGTTCTACATGTTTTAGGAAGAGGATAGTTGGTTATTTTTCCTCAATCCTAATAACCATTATGAAAATAAAAAAACACACTGTTTAGAGAGCAATAAAATAACTAAGTATTCAAGCTAACAACTGGTATAGCTAGTATTTTAGAGGGTGAAATCAGCCCAGAAAACCACAGAACAATTAATAAAATTGTATATTATCAAGGAAAGGATATTGTCCTTCAGGAGAAAAAAGCTTGAAAACACTTGAGAACTGAACGCAGAGAAGTCAAGTGTGATACTCATGAGTGGCACAGTCATGAGAGTGGGGCAAAACGTGCTGCATTTCTGGTTTCTCTTGATTTATCCTGCTGGATTGTTTTGCAATTTATGTGCCCCATCAGTGCTGACAATGTGCACGGTAAGCATTAAAAAAATGTATTCTACAGGGAAAGGGCACCTGCATCTGTATGACCCTAACTGCCCACTTTCCAGATTACTGGCTGCAGATACCTGAATTTCCCTCAGATCTTTGTCGTGAAGATTCTGAAGGGGGTCAATGAAGTTCTGCTTCACTTCCATGTCCAAAGAGTCTTTCACCTCCGAGAGTTCCCGCATGGCCTCGCCCACATCTCCAAGCGCTGGGCCTGGAAGGGAATAATGAAGTGCTTGCATGTCAAAGAACAAACTTGACATGAATTTGCAATAACAGGGCCTGAACACCCAGGGATTACAGCCTGGCTTCTGAAGGCAGCCAAGACAAGAGACGGTATATGATGCCCTCCAGAGATCAGTGTAGTTTCCCACTTAAGAGAGCTCGTGAGAGTTCACTGAGTACAAGAGACTCTATGCCCCCGAGGGGTGGTGGTGGAATCCTTATCATAAAGAACATAAAATGTTACTTTTTCCTTAAAAAGCAAATTTGGAAGCTCCCTACCCTCCTTTGTAAGTACTAGTTTTCCCTTATGGGAGGGCTGTTTAAGGCCAATGCATTCAGCAAAGGCAAACACCAGGAACGGAGAGCAGGGCTCAGTCAGGAAGGACTGTCATTTTCTGAGACGTCACATGGTGAAGGAGTGAAAACAAAGGTGGTTAGTATGGTAGCTGAGGGTCAAAGGAGGGAGGGGTGAGAGAATGCACTTGGACTGGTAAAATGAGCGGTAAAACCATACAGAGAAGAGCAGACATCTCAGAGAAAGCCCAGGGGCCGAATGTTGAATCATGCTGAGTGTGACTGTTGGCTGTGCCCCCAAACTCAGTTACAGCCAGACACACACCAGGGTAAACGTCCAAGCATCTGGATGGGTCAGCCAGCTACCGTAATGATGGGCTCTTAGCAGGGAAAAAGAATATAAATAAAATTCCAATGACGAATCATACTAAAAATCATGAAAGAGCTCTGAAAACAAATTTTGGGCCCATGTGTACAAGACCTAAAATTGAGAAGCAAAACATAAAATGGTTTGAATTTTCTCCTACAGAGTTTCTCAGTGGCACTAAAATCCCCATGGACAAATGAACACTTAAACTGTGAGAAAGCACTCATTACCAAAGTTGCAATCATCTCCAAGCTCTCTTCCGAACTTGAGCATGGCCTCGGCCAGCAGTGCCTCTGCCTGGGGATAGCCTGGCCCTTTCTCCTGGCCACGGATTTTTGACATGGTGTTGATCATGCTGAGCTTGGCTCTGGAAGCTGGAGGCAAAGAGATAAGAGACTTTCACAGGAGGCAATGTGATGGAATGGAAACAGGGCTGGATGGAGAGTCAGTGACTGAGACTTGCACCTTCACCTAGAGGTAGGTCCACAGACAAATACAGATATTTTTTAAATCACTGAACTCTCCCTGTCTCTCAAAATCTTCTGAGGAAGTTAACAGAAAAGACAAAGCTCTTCCAGGTGAAGATGCTATCCTTCTGTGTTCTTGCCCGCTCCCTGTGCCCTCTCCGACACTCTTCACTGCTGTGGCCCTACTGTGCCTCTGTGGACCTCAGTGGCCCAGGGAAAGCATTTGAAAAAGTACTGGATTACGTGATCTCTAAGTTTTAGGATTCTACTTTATATTTCAATTCTAGGAGTGCACAAACTAAAGTAGGAAATTAATTGTTAATTCTTGCAATGTGGGCCTTATGCCGTGTTTCACTTATACCATGTATAAAATAGAACTATGTTCAAAATTACTTCTCAATTAAGATTCAGACAGTAAACACACCCACAAAGTACAGAAATATCGTGTTCATTAAAAAGACTTATTTACTCCTCTCATACATAAGTTCTTCAGAAAATCAGTTCTATGCCACAAAGACAGAGTTTCAATTTATTTTTTGCTTTTATTTTTATAAAAGAAGATCCTAGAAGGCAAATCCAGTTTTCATGGAAGAAAGAGTTTTACTAGCACACTGTTAAAGCCAATGATGCTAGGACACCAGGGTTTCTCAGCTTCATCACCAGAGTTGGGACTGTCCATTAACCTAGGATTGTGCCCGGAGTCCATCTGCATGGAAACTCCTGACAGAATCACACCCATAGCACATACTTCTTGCATTTGGTGGCCAACATTTCATCTTGAACATGTGATTCAAATAGGCTTTTACTTGAACTTTGGGCTTCAGAGGTCAAAACTGGAGAGGAAGAGAATTATCATGCCCCAGGGATATGATAATGAACAAGACAGCTATGGCCTCTGCCTTTATGAAGTTTGTCGTGAACTGAGGGTAGGGTCTGTTTTAAAAGCAATTCGAGCGAAGTATGTATACTAAGCATTATGCGGGGAGATGACAGCAAGTCACAGAAGTACAGCATCACTCTGGCCCGTGGGGGTGGGCAATGCAAAAGAGAATTCAGAAGAGAAGTGTCTTTAAGCTTAGAAATGGCAGTTAGTCAAGCTAATAGTGATATGTAAAGCCTGGTGGTCACCGGAAAAAACCATAAAATTCACATTTTCATTACTCTGCTTTTCAAAGAAAAGTGTACTATATACATTTAATTTCAGAAACTGAAAATGTCACATGATCACACAGTTCTGAGGGAATGCTATTACTAGGGTATATATTCAAAGACTTTTCTACAACAAGCCATATCTGAGATCCAGGAAGAACACAGCCCCTTCCCTCAAGGTGCTCACAAGTGTCAGATATATAAACCGATAGTAGCAAGAAACATGGTAAATGTAATAACAGCTAATACACGCAAGGTACTGAGAAACTCAGAGAGAGGGTAACAACAGCACAGATAACACTGAAGTAAGCACACACCAGGCAATAAGAGGTACAAAATGAATAGAAGGAAAGAAGATAAATGGAGATGGAAGAAACAGAGTAATGAAACTACACATGGCAGTGAATCCCTTCAAATCCTATTTTGACCATTTTATACCCTAAAGATTTATTCCTTTTCCAAAGGCTTGTTACTGATTTGTACTTATACTTTGGTTCCGTTAAGAGCTGTTTCTGGTCAGTAATCACTAGAAGTAATTATAACAGTTTAATATGCTGTGGCTGATTTTCAAATTCATCATTTTGAATGCTGTTCAACCATGACGAGCTTTATTCTTCTACTAATTACTTAAAAATACCTTGAATATGTTCTGTATTTTCATGAGAAGGGGGAAGAAAACCATATTCTATTAGTTTATCTATTTCCTCCAATCATCTAAAATACCTAATGATTCATATCAGTGATATCTGAAGAGACTGTCTTTTAAATTTATTCACAACCATTACATTTTTTAAGACTCTTGGATTAGCAAAACTTCTTGAAAGAAAATCATCAGACTTCTGAATTAATCATTTTAAAATGTTAACATAATTGTTTTTAAATGACTTTTTAAAGCGGGACTTTAAGAAACAGAGAGGAAGTCTGAAAAATACAAATTTAGGACACTAGAATTCCCATAGTATGGTCTCAACCTAGATTGCTTCACTAAGTTGGACGTGTCCCTGGGCACCCTTGTCTTCTCTTCTAAAGGGACCTACCTCTTCTCCTTCACATTGACTTTTCCCCCCGACAGCTTCAGTCTTTCTTTCAAATTGTTACAATCTCTCTAAGCCCCCATCTTTACTTTCTCACCTTCCCTATTCTAGTGCAAGTTGGATTTACTGCAGGGACAGCTTCCTAAAAGCAATCTCTTCCCTGGCCCATGAGAGCAGGATACTGGTGTGTTGCTCTGTGTGTCTCCCAGAGAGGGTTAGCAGAAAGCTGCACATGCAGTAGATGTTGAACACATGTCTGCTGAAGGAAAGAATAAATTAATAAAGAGACCACCTTGGACACAGTAGACTATCATGGCAGTGGTTTTCATAAGCAGACTCTGCTCACATCCTTTGACTCATGTGACTGAGAGCCTTTTGAAACATTACAGAGAACAGGAACAGGAAACTTGCTTCTTTTGTTTGAGAATAAAAGGTGTAGTGATCTAACAGAATTCTTTTGAAGAGAGAAGACAGCTGACCTATACTGAAAACAGAGCATCAGGGCCAGTCCAGACAGTGACCTGTGGGATGCACCAGCCCACTTCCCTTACTTGTCCCCCAGAAAACTGGCAGCCAGGTTCGCACCCTCTGGGGGGACAGGAAGATTCTTCCCTGGGGAATACAACCAACTCAAGAGAAGAGACTGAAAGATACTCACAGCTGAAAGCACCCAATGCAACAACTTGAGGCTTGATTGCCTTCTCAGAATGAAGCAAACACTTCACTTCACTTATTAATACTTCTATTTCGGAGAAGCGGACAGCCAGGACTCCAAGATGGCGTCAGTTGTACCACTGAAGGAGAAGAGGCTCCTGGATGTCAAATTAGGGGAGCTGCCAAGCTGGATACTGATGCGGGATTTCACCCCTAGAGGCATTGCTGGAGCGTTTCAAAGAGGTTACTACCGGTATTACAACAAGTACGTCAACGTGAAGAAAGGGAGCGTCGCGGGGCTTTCCATGGTGCTGGCAGCTTACGTGCTTTTCAACTACTGCCGCTGTTACAAGGAGCTCAAACATGAGCGGCTCCGCAAGTACCACTGAAGGAGGCGCACTCTGCATTCCTGACCAGGACCTTTGCCCTGCACCCCCGAATCCTTTCACATCCTACTAGAGAATCACCACCCAATAAAAGATGACTGTACCTGGAAAAAAAAAATACTTCTATTTCTTCCAATCATCTAAAATACCTAATGTTCATATCACTGATATCTGAAAAGACTGCCTTTCAAATTTATTCACAATCATTTAATTTTTTTTAAGACTCTTGGATTAGTAAAACTGCAATTTACCCGCTTCAGCTTTACTGTCCCACACTCAAGTAGAAAAGGTTAGCCACTAACATCAGACTCTGAAGAAAGCTTCTAACATGCGAGAGGCAAAACAAACAAGGAAATTGTAGGAAACAAAAAAATTTAGGAAAAGAAAAATAACTATCATTAATATTCTTAGGTGTTTAAGATAATTCATCCATGAAATAAAAAAGAAACAGCGAACTCTTAGCAACTAAAATATAATTTAACTTTAAACATGAATTTCAATAATACAAAGAAATAAAAAATCATAAAAGTATAGATGATAAATTTGAGGCAAATCCCCCCAAAAGCAGAACAACAACAACAACAACAAAACAAGAGATTCCTAACACTGATGACAAAGAGACAGTCCTAAAATCTTTCAGAGAGGAAAAAAAAATATGTTACATGCAAAGTACTGAATGTTAGAAGGCCACTGAATGTGAGAAAACCATGAACAACATGAGAAATTTCCTCAGAAAACAATGAAGCAATGACTAATTTTTTAGAGAAAATAATCTACAATTCTATACTCAAATTGTCAATGAAGTATAATGGTAATATATGACATCTCCAAATACACAAAGAAGATCTCAATTTATTTTTCTTCCCAAGGTAATAGAAGAGGCAATCTACTGAAATGAAGGTGTCAAGAAAAGGGACAGGTATGGGATCTAGAAAAAGGGAGTTCTTATAAGAAAAGAGGTGAAAATGATTACAAAGGGGGCTGTCAAGACGATTGTTGTGCACCAGGCATTGAGGACAACTGTAGCTGACACTACACATAACCAGGTGTATGCAACTCAGGGAGCCTCGAGCTACAAGGGAGCGCCAGGCTCCCCGCCATCCCCAGGGGAATCAGGTTATAGCTGCCCACCACTGTGCCTCACTTTATAATGTGCCCTTCATTGGCCTCCTCCCTTTCCCTACTCCTACTACAGGGTTTCCTGGAATCATCTTCTAAATCAACCACTTATGCCCATATCCTTGACTCATGATTTGCTTCTGGGGGGACCCAGTCTAAGACAGCAACCAACCTAGAATGCAGTACCAGATACGCCTCTCAGAGATGACTAACATCTGGCATGTTTAATTTCTCCTGACAGGAAATTCTTATTTGTGGTAGAGGGTTTGGCAAAGAATTACTAAAAGGTACACAGAAAGCTAAGAAAATGAAAATTAAAACAATTATTAACTCCAGGAAAAACAAAAAGGTTGTACAAGAAAGGAAATATAATCATATTACCCGCTTTGTACCAGTTTATAAAGGCATAAAATGTAAACACTGAATATTGATCCAACAAAAATTATGCTATCAACAAACTGATAAAATGAGAGAGAGAAAGGATGTGGAAGAAGGAAGGGGAAAACAGGAAAAGAGCAAATAATTCTCACCTTCTAAATAGGGAATCAAACTGAAACAGCTAAAACTGGAAAATCTAGCAAGAGCAACCTAAGCATGTTGTTTCAAGAAGTAAAAACCAAAGAAAGAGCCAAACAGGTTTGAAAGTGCTGATTCTGTGAAATGGAAATGGGGGGAGGGATGCAAATTCCAGGGGGACTGCTGTTTTTTGTAAAAAGCTTTAAAAAACTATTTAATTTTTTATAATATGAGCATATATTACTTTCATTATGAAAAACTAAATTTAAGACATTTTCCACTTCTTTTTCCATCAGGAGACCTAATTTAGTGGCTGAACTGGATAAACAATACTCACAGGATCTTGACAAGCCGAGCACTGCTCTAACCTTGAGGGTCTTCCCACCAAAAAGTTCTACTGAGAGATATGTTCAGGGGTGTAAAGAGAAGTGGCCAGGAAGATGAAAGTTAATAAGGATGAACAGGTGAAGTGCCATCAGAAAAAACCATCAAAGGCAAGGTGTTGATGAGTCCACATCTAGGTGATTTCTGTAAGGAATATATCTGGTGAACTGAAATGACAGGATGTAAAATTGGGATGACTGGAAAAAAAAGACTTACTCCTAAAAAAGGCTTCCACTGATTTGTCTCCTGCTGGAAAAAAAAAAAAGGCAGTTTCTTTTTTGGCCTCAACATCTATACTATCTTTAAGGCAGAGAAACAGGGGCAGCCAAGGCTCAATCTGAGTCATCTCCCAGCTCTAAAGCATCATCTGCAGCATCCCTTGACGAGCTTCCTCATTCTGGGCACAGCTGAAGGGAAGTCAACGCTCTGCCGAGAGCAAAACAGAAGCTCTCCTCCTGCTGCCAGATGGAGTTAACTTTCCTCTGACCTAGAAGTGGCGTCCACGTGAGTCACTGCTCAGTCTCTCCCAAGTAACCAGTGTGTTAACTAATCAGGAATGTTGAAAACCCAGTACCTCTGCTAAATCTTAGTTAAACAGGAAAACAAACCATTAGGTCTTGCCTGTCATGGAAAGCAGCACAGTGCATTAAAATAAACATCAGCTTTGGCTCATACAAACACAGGTGAAAATCCGGGCTCCAAATCTTGCTCGCTATGTATCCCTGAAAATCATCTCATTCTGTTATCAGTATTCAGTGATGAACACTCAAGAGAGTAACTGTCACAGACACACACCACAGGCACTGAAGACAAAGGAAAGCAGTCCTTTCTACCCTTCCAGCTCTCCTTTCTGTGAGTATGTGTGCTGGAGTGTTCCACTGCTGACTTGGTTGTACAGGAAGCAGTATTTCCCAGAACCCCTTCTCTGCACGTTTCCAAGCTAGAACTGGTCTCACGTGAGGCTGTGCAAGATGTGGGACGTGAAGGTGAAGCAGTAGCCATACACGCTGAAGGCAGAGGTGGATATGGGTTCCAGTTTGTCCTCAACTTCATATACTCTGTGCCAAGCTCTTCTTCTTGAATGCTGATCCTGCTGACCAAGAGTGACCCCGGGCCTGCCACGGAGCTTTTGCTGCAAACTCACAGAGGCAGTGACCTTGAAGAGCCAACAATCTCCCACAGTCTTCCGTGCCAGCTGCCCTCTGCAGTGCTGCTCCAGCAGCCACACCTGCCTACCTTCCAGATTCCTGCCTAAGTTTGTTTACCTGGGTCACGGCTGGGCAGTGAACCTTTTCTGATCCTCACCTCTGCTTTTTCTGCCCTTATTTACCCAGATCGTCCTACAGCTCTTCAAGCTCTGATTCCTATAATAAATCTCTTAAGTCTATAACATCCCCAATGGCTTTGCTTCCCCTACTGAATTCTTAGGCTGATGGTCTGAAATCTAAACTGACAAAAAATGATGGTCTATCCTTGATAGAACCCTGAAAGTAAATCAATAAAAGTGACTGTAAATATTTCAATTCTGTAACTCTGTGTTTTCAGGGTAGACATAAAAGAGAGTAACTGTAGGTGTAAGTTAGCTGCTAAATGTGGAAAGAACACCGGAAAGGACAGACAGTTTAACAGGTGCGGTTAAGACACAGACTCTGCAGTCAGATGCTCTGAGTTCAAATCTTGGCTCTATTTCTTGCTTGGTGATTTTGGGCCTCAGTTTCCTCATCTGTAAAGTGGTACCTCCCCCTCAGGGGGTAAGGATGATGTAAGGATTAGATGATATAATGTATGTCACAATGTTGGCACACGATAAACATTCAATAAATACTGGCTATTTCTATGAGCGTCAGACACGCCAGCAAGTTCCCTGTGTGATTCTGCATGAGTTACTTTACCTCTCTGAATCTCAGGTTCCTCGCTGATAAAAAGCTGAGAAAAAGGAGACAGTTAAGCCCCCTCTACTTAACTGTGATTCTTCTTAGACAGAAGACTTCTCAAAGAAAGTGTATCGTGGCCTTCAGCCACAGGAAACTTCTAGCAGTTTCCTGAAGTTGCTAGGACTGGCCCTCTTCTCAGAATGACCTTTTCCCTCTCTCTACCTGCCCCACACAACACCAGGCACACCTTTCCCACGGTCTTTCCCAATTACTCTTTACCTCTACTGCTGCCAAGTGTATGTGCCCCTTTCCCTCATTTACGCCCCCACTGTGCCCTGTACATACAGTGATCATATCTCACACAATACTTTATTTCTCTCTTTTCTGCATGTCTCATTCTTGTTATAAGTTGAGAAATTGCCTCCTACTGAATTCTAGCACAAGGCCAAGCATATAACAGATGCTTGCTTACTAACTGTGGGCTGAATGATTTCACTTAAAAGTTTTGATTTTTTAAAATAAAATCTTATATACACATCATTTCTTCCAATCCTTAGAAAAGACTTCCCTGTTCAAAAGCACAACAAATCTCCTATCATGCTCTGAAATGGAGTGAGAGGGTGCTGGTAAGATCTAATTACATACAAACTCTGAGGTCTGACAGGGTGATTCGGGAGAGCAGGTCATGCTGATAGCCATCAGACTGGTATTTCCCTTATATACACAAGATTTTAAGATTTTTGAGGCTGCTAGGCCTTTTCTTTTCTCCTGACTGTTCTTTATGGTGCAGAAGGGTGGGACCCCACTTCCCAATCACTCTTACTAATGCTGGCTCTTTGGAAGCAAGTCACCTCAAATTTGCATAAAATGCTGCTTTATGTGAAAATGATAAGAAGCTGATCACACAAGCTCCCAGAATCAGGATACAGGCTTTCATTTCCCCCAGTAAAAGAGGGCTGCTATGCTAAATTATAAACCCTAACTAAAGGGATTGAAAAATCAAATGAATAAAAATCAATACAGAGGTGACACTGGAAACAATTACGTATCCCCCGATAAAGAAAAATTCTGAATCTGCACTCCCTGAGTGAACTGGTATTTACCAAAAGTCAGCTTTCTTAAGATTTTTTTCAGTGATTAAATGAACAAAACAAGTACTTATTAAGCCCCGATCGCGTGGGAGGGATGACACCAGGGAGACTGAGAGAAGCACGGCCCAGCCTCC